TTTTTTTCATGTCAGACTACAAACATTCAGCATAAGCATAATTCATTTAGTTGTATCCGAATTAGTGAAATTCGTGGGCTGAGTGTGCACTAGATCTCTCCAGTTGTCTACACGTGTCCCAATAAAATCCTTTTGATAATTTAATTAATTTTATTTGACATATTTAATTTAATACAAATTAGATTGTATTCATAATTTTACTCCGGAAACGCTTGTCAAAAGTGCGAAGCAAGGTGGAGAGAGAGAACTTCTTCAAGGAATAGGGAAACTGCGGTGGGCAACTGATCAAACACCGGGAGCTGAATTCCGGCTATCGTCGCCGGCGTTGCTAGTTCTTCTCCTTATGGATTATTCCATGTGCTTTCACGACGGCAACATCGCCGACTTGCTACACAGTCGCACTCTCCATGGCGATCACCATGTCTGTTTCGTATTTTTTTTCTTCTATTGGTTTTATTTCTTGCATATTCGGTTTTATGTTGGAAGATTGTGCTGCATCACTCATTAATTTGGTTATATGTATTTGTTCATTTTCAGTGTGTGTTGATTTTCACCGTGATGGTGGCTTAATTCTATTAATTTCCCAATTCCCGTTAGGGCCGTGGGGTATGATTTATTGTTTATGTATATGTACATTAATAAGGCCTGGCGTTTTCTTCTGTTGTGTTTGCGCCTTTCTGATGTTGGGAATGAAGGATGAAGCACTTGAAAGAATGTAAAACTATTTTGCTTTAGCCTTTAAATAGATGAAGAGTTAACTAGAGAATGAAACTAGTTTTTGATAAACATCTTTTTGCTCCTAAAATTGCGATGTAGAATGTATACTGAACGTAATCGATAGTGGGTTTAGACCCCGAAAAGTTAAGCACTAGTGTTCGGAAAAGCTCTGTTGGCCTAATCTTATCCTACCAAAGAAAAGTTGGGACATCTTGGAATGTCCCAATGGCAGTGATTGTGCTCTTGAGCATCTGGAGGGATGAATTTGGTGATTAATTTCTCGAATAGTTAGAAAGCATGCCATTATTATTTTGCTTATATCAGTGCAAATGACTTCTATATGACAAAAATAGTAATTCGTTATCAAATCTTGTACTCAGGCTGAGATTATCTTCGTCATTTGATTCACAGGTTTTTAATCCCGTTGTGCAAATGCACTCCTCACTTGTCCGAGCAATTTCTCTGGAAAGAGAACTAGAGGTGGTTATATTTTTATGATCCTATAACCTGGAAAGTTTGTTATGAGCTTTATATTTACCCATGATTTTCTTTTAAATTTTTCTTTCTTGTGGAGAATAATAAATTTTGTAGTTCCATACAAGCCTTTTCATTTTCCATTGCTTCTTTCTTTGGAGGGTACAGTTGATTGAGGTTTCATCATTGATGGAATCAATTTCTTCTGTTTTTTTACTTATAATTACCGGTGTAATTATAGGGCCGGGCCTTATAAACTGTATATTCTTGTGTCCCTTATTACTATGACTGTCTCTCTGTTGTGCCTCGGATATCATTGCATAGTGAACTACAGAATCTAGCTCAGTATTTTTCTTATTTTCTGGGGCATAACTGTCTAGTATTATTCTTTTATTTATTATTTTATTATTATTTTTCTATGGGCTTGCTGTAAAGAATATTAGCTTATAGTTTCCAACTTCCGAAGTGCAGTCTGCAGTTGCTGTTGTTTATTGAGAAAGGTTTGGTGGATTAACTCTTTTGAACTGTGAGTAAAATTGATTTGGTTCGGTAGGCCTGAGAGTTGACACTGTTTCTGTTTTCTTTTATTAGCCATCACAGACACTCTTGTGCTGTTTAAATGTCAATATTTGATGCCTCTGCAATTTTTTTAGTTTGATTATTTCTAGGATATGTTACAGTGATGGTAATGATGGAGATATGTTTAATGATAGACATATGCTTCTTGTTCTATCTTTTGTGGTTTAACAGGGGCACCGTGGATGTGTAAATGCTATAGCTTGGAATTCAAGGGGCTCAATGTTGATATCTGGATCGGACGATACACAAGTATGATGCCACCCATTTTAGCATGTTGCCATGTTGTAGTTATAACCTTTGTTTTTGTGTTTTTGTTTCTTTTTTTTTTTTTAATAATATTCTCAATGTGAATGGGTGGTACACAAACTGTGATATTTTGATTGTTCTGAACTTCACCTTATATCTATATTCGTTTGGTTGTATGTACTTATTACAGTGTTTGGTAGGCAAAGTACTAGTTTCAGGCATTAAATGACGAACATGTTTGAGCAGAGCGAAAATGGGATGAACGCAAAAAGAAAGAAAATGACTAAACTATTCGTATCTAAATCGCACCCATGTTGTTCAAAGTCATACCAAATTCAACTGTAGCCTTTGTACATATCATTCATTTATTCACATGATGGAAAATTATTGTGACCAAGTATTTTGAATAGATGTTTTAATACTAGTAGTGGAAGGCTGAAGTTCCCAGCAGAGGGAAATGCCTCTGGCACTTGAAAGAAGAATAAAACATACAGCAGTTGAAACAATATATGAGAACAATTTTAGCCTTTGTACATCACATCCATTTCTGCATAAAATATTATTAGGAAACTCAGCACTTCCGATTAAAAACTTCTGCTTGCTGGATTTCCATGAGATTTTTCTTTGGTAAAGAAATGCTTGATCAACATATTCACGTATGCCTGACTGGAACTAGACATCAACATAACTAGCACTTAGTATCCTTGTGCAGTTGTTCTTTATGCTCTTTTTTGGGGCCACAACTTACATTTTGTGTGTTTTGTTCTTAAATGTGAGATATGCTGGTGATTGCTGATTTGCAGCTAATCGGTGTTCCATTAAATGTATATGCACTACAGGAATCAAAATGACAACCTTTTGTATCAATTTCCAGGGATGAGTTTCTTTGAGCCATTTTGTATAAGATTTTGCTGATGGTAGTTTCAATTTAAAGCTAGAAAGAGTCTTGTGCTGAAGTTGAAGTTTGGGCCTCCAGTTCCACAAAATGAATTTTTTAATTGGTGCTTTAGAAGTTCAACTCGTCTGTTTCTTTTGCTTGTTTGGTAGCTCACTTTATCAGTTCCTTTTTGTTTTTCGTGTACTGAGTTTTGGCTGACATAAAAAATGTGTCTTGGCTCGGCATTGCCACCTTCAGCCTTTGTAGGGACCATGAAAACATGATCTCAATGTGGGTTAGCTCTAACATTGAAGTTCTCTTATCGATAAAATGCTCTTGTATCGTATTGTATGCTTTTGGAATCTCTGATTTTGTTTATCCTGTCCACATGAGATAGTTAATCTTTGGTTTCATTTTGCCTTTGGTTGGATTTTGGTTGCTGTTCACTTGGTGTTGAACACAAGAGTGTTTGTTTTGTTTGACGTGGAATTACTGGTATATGAACGATGGACTGTTGTTTGTTGCACTGTTTCTGGAGCTGGTCCTTTGATTCACACTGACCATATGTTTGTCATGCATACCAACTTTATATCTTCTTTATCTGTAGGAATTACTTAGGACAGTGCATCATGAGCATAATGTTGAGTTCTTAATGTGACGAAATATATGTGCGTGAATGGTGGGATCTGCATCTATTTGTGGTCCTGGATGTATGTATTTATTAATTGCCTGGTTTTGTTAACCAGACCATATTTATGGTGGGCTAATGGGACGATGTTCTACATAAAAAATATCAAGATATTGCATCAACATGGTCCTTGTTTATAAATGTGTTATAAGGATGCAGGTTGAGAATGTTTGTAAGCTGATGACAGTGACATACTTTTCTCTCTGTAGACCTTAACTTAGATGATGCTTCCTTCTTAGTTCGTTCATCCCTTTTTTTTTTTTTTTAAATTTGAGCTCCTGTTTAGTGGTGTAGCTTGGCGTCTGCAGTGTATCTATTATCTAATATGGGAAACATCGTACTTGCTGCAGATTAATATTTGGTCCTACTCAAAACGGAAACTTATGCATACCATTGATAGTGGTCATTCCGCTAACATTTTCTGCACAAAATTCATTCCTGAAACATCCGATGAGTTGGTTGTTTCTGGTGCAGCTGATGCTGAGGTAATGTTCTTGTTCTGGATTGTGTTCTTGAACAGTGGTTTTGATTATGCTTGATTGAAGTAAATTATGTGACATGCAGGTTCGTCTTTTTAATTTATCCTGCTTAAGGGGAAGTGGACAAGGGGTGAATGGTGGCGCTTTGGCAAATTTTCAGTGTCACACAAGGAGGGTCAAAAAATTAGCTGTAATCACTGCCCCTTCGAAGTATTTTTTGTTAACAATGTAGCTGCTGCTGTGAAGTTATGTTTCGTTTTCTAGGTCGAAGTTGGAAACCGTAATGTTGTGTGGAGTGCTAGTGAAGACGGGACAATAAGGCAACATGATTTACGTGAGGGTGATTCTTGTCCTCCTGCGGGGTCCTCTCATCAAGAATGTCGGAATATCCTTGTCAGTTCCAAGTCCTTAAAAGCAAAAGTTCTATTCTGTGCTATCTTGTAGAATTAAATAATCACAGGGTCACTAACATTTTAAAAAACTACAGTTACTGTTCAACAATTTGTGGCTTTTAAGCAATCAAGCATGTTACGAGTTGCTACAAATAAGATGATTCTTTCAATTAGGTTGACTGAACAATTTTCAGCGGCTTTGGCATTCTCTTTTAAAAACACAGATTTACTTTTCTTCACTCTCAACTTCATTGTAGCTTGATTTGCGATGTGGAGCTAAAAAATCTTTAGCAGATCCTCCAAAGCAATCCCTTGCTCTGAAGTCTTGTGATATCAGTTCCACTAGGCCTCATTTACTCCTTGTTGGTGGCAGGTGCTTCATTGTTAATTGACTAGTATTCCTACGACTTATAATATATCCACTAATCAATAAGTATAATGCTTGCAGTGATTCATTTGCACGCTTGTATGATAGGCGAATGCTACCGCCTCTTTCATCTAGTCAGAAAAAGTCCCCGCCACCTCCTTGTGTGAATTACTTTTGCCCGATACATCTCTCTGACATTGTTAGTTGACTATTTATTCACATATCCAATTCAATAGCGCACGTCGACAGTATTTCCGAACAATTTGCCATGATCTACCTGCTCGATCCCAAATATTATGAAAATTAGATAAAAAAATTTCATTTAGACTTAGCACATATAGAACATGCTATTTTGATGCAAGATGCTCTCTCTTATCCTTTATTTAATTTACTTTATTATTTGTATCAATCTTTTTGTTCCTTTTGCTGTTGTGCATCTGCGCTAATATGTGGGTAATATATTTTAAACCTTGTGAAACACAAGCTTCAATTGTTCTCTATTAAAAGTGTTGTTTGCTTGGATGTAGGACTTATAAATAGAGTATGTTGTCAGGGGAAACGACACACATGCTCATACACTCATACTTGCAACTAAGGCCTCAGGGGACATCTGTTTGAAAATATACAAATCATTTGATCCCTACTTTTTCTTTAATTGAGTCTCAGTTATAAAGGAATATGGATTAGTTTTGTGATTGCGTTCTGAAATCTGAATTATTGACCGGGTGACTAGAAGACAATCTTTTGTCTGTAGATATTTAAGATAAGCTGTCAAAAGACATGGTTATGATGCAAAGGTGAACAATGGAAAGACTTGGAAGTGACTTGGTGGGTTGTGTTACTAATGAAGGATGACAGATGATATGATGGGATGTTATGATGTTCTCATTTTCATTTTCTGTGTTAGTGAGTCTACTTGCGTCAGTTGAGGAAGTGAGTCATGTTAAAGAAGAAAATTACGTCAACATAATTTGAGTTTATTACTCTTGTTATTGTTTGAATTTAGGATGACCTTCTGTATGCTCTATGTGTATTGCTGTATTTTTTTTTATTACTATATTTTTTCCCATTATTGTGGATCTACTTGGCCTTTTCGAAGCCAAAACTTCCTTTTGTACTTACTTTGACTCATCTTTCTTTCCAGGGACATTCTAGTGTGCATCTTACTCATGTCACTTTTAGTCCGAATGGTGAGGAGGTACTACTTAGTTACAGCGGGGAGCATGTTTATTTGATGGATGTCAATCTCGGTATGGGTTAGTGCTTATTTAAGATTGATGAACAACTTTGATTATGTTTTATAAATTTTTCCTTGCAGTGAAGTTTGAAATTTTATCTACAGTCCTAACACGTTAGAGCCTGCAGTTGGCTATTCGTTTGTCTACTTTACTTATTTAGGGGCCGGCTCACCTTGATGTTCTATTTAATAACAAATGGTAGTGATAACCTTTCCTGGAGAGTGGAGAGTAGATGTCTGTGTAAGATAGACCTGGCTGTTCAGTATTTATTGTTTAGGTTTGTAATTGTGAACGAAATTCTGGATGATCCGAAATGTTGTATACTGCATATAAATATAATCTTTTGAAGCAGCATCTGCGGTTTCCATGAGTTATACGCCAGCGGATTTCGCGAATCTCTTTAGCTTGAGTTCTATATTTGATGGAGGGGAAGTGAATTCTTCATCTCTTTCTGGTGTATCTTCAAATGGTTATCCTCTGAGAAAAAAAGCTGCTGCAAGAGTATGAACCTATCCTTCTTTTGCATTACATGAATTATGAGCTTAGATTGCATGGCTGCTGTTGATTGTATTTCTTCTTTTCTAAGCTTGATAGGTGCAGAAAATTGATCCAGATTGCTGAAAAATCATTAGAAGGAGAAACTGATTATTATTATGGCATTGAGGCTTGTGATGAAGTCTTGGATGGTCATGGTCATGAAATAGGGCCAACTCTCATGCATGAGTGTTTATGTATACGTGCATCCTTGTTGCTCAAGGTTGTATAGTAAACTTGTCTATAAGATTTCATACAACTGCTGCTGTTTTTCTTTGTTTAATCAATCCTTGTAACACTTTACAGCGTAGGTGGAAAAATGACTCGCTCATGGCTATCAGGGACTGTCAGAAAGCTCGGAAAATAAATCCTTCATCAGCTAGAGCAGTCATTTGCATGGCTGAGGCTCTATTTTCGGTAACCGTTATTTGATCTGGAAAGTCTTTAAGTGGTTAATAACTCCAGAAATGTTTCAGATGTTGGGTTCACAGATATGCAATCTTCTTATATAATAACTAGGTAAATCCTAGTGTAACCTAGGTGTTAAGATTAGTCCATGGGTTGCCTGTATTTTAGAAAACAGGATCCGGTGAAGGTCTGCATGATACTCATGTAGCACAGTATATAGAACATTGTGTATGGTCCTCACAATTATATTTGATCAATCACAGGATCTATTCTGCAATTTTACACAAATTTGAATCTGTCTAATTCTAGGTTTGGTTTTACTGGCTCTGTTGATCATGACAGTTGGAGAAATATAAGGAAGCATTGGAATTTTCTATTGCATCTCAATCTATGGCTCCATCTGATTCTGAGATAATGGAGAGGGTGGAGAAAATTAAAAAAAGTATTGCTGCAGGTTAGGATATTTGTTAGTTTCTTGTATCTCAAACATGTCTGGCTCCCTTCAAATTAAACTGTAAAGCCAACTATATGTATATACATTTTATCTCTCAAGGCTTTTAGAAGCCTTATAAAATATATAAGACCAGATGTTCTCTCATGTAGCCTAAAATGTGTCATCTTTTCTTAGTTTTTGGTTTTCATTGAGATTTAGATATCAAACTGCTTTGTCAAAAGTTGCTATATTGGGTTAATAATAGAAATTATTTATACGTTAAAATATGTGCTTGAAGATCTTTAGAGAGTCTGATAAGGTGGTGGAATTTTGGCTTCACACCATAGGTTGTGGGATCTGTTTTCTTGTGATATCTTTTCTGCTACTCTTTCGTCCGACAAGAATTTCTGATCTCCTTGCGGCCCTCTTGTTGGTCTTGCTAGTTGCTATGTGCGACTGGAACAACACATCTGTCACACCTTTACATAATTAATAGACCATCTCCAAAGAGCCTGCAGGGTTACTATCCTTTTGATATTAAGCATTGCTTTAGTGTCATGCTAGGTTATAGTGCAAATACTGTTGAAAAAGTACCCATTTCTATGAGAATTGTGTTGGATAGTAAAGCATCTGTTACTAATGCTTCGGGCTAGCTATTTGTTCCTTGTGAATAATATTTAGCACTTGATATGTAGCTGAAGCTGACAGAGCTAACCTGGAAAGTGAGAGGGGAATAAAGGCGAACGATCAAGCAGCAAAAGCACTTTCAATAAGTGACATAATCTACCATTCTGTAGGGGATAATGAAGCATTGCTAGATGATTCTGAAAGAGAGGACTCTGACTATGATGAAGAGCTGGAATTGGACTTTGAAACATCATTTCCTTCTGAAGCAGGGCATGATATTGACTACACCGTCCTTCCGACAAACTTAAATTTGAGAATTCACAGGCGAGGTAATTTGGTCACGGAAGCTGGGAGACACGATGACTCGTGTGCGGCTCCTGTCTCGTCTTGTGAAAACCCTGAAGTGCCTTACCAGGTACTGATTGTGTGTTTGCTAGAAAACTGTTGTCAAGTTCTACGGGTATCATTTTTTGGAAATTTGCCTTATGTGATTTTGATGGTATTTCCTGTATTTTAGTACAATATGCATTGCATATTTCCAAGTTTCAGTACCTATAGATCTGTATTTTTATTGTGTTTGAGTTAATATTGTGTTTTAGATGCATCTTTCTCATATTTACTATTTTATTCTCCCCATATGCAGCCTGAGATGGCGATAGATATGAAGAAGAGATATATTGGCCATTGTAATATAGGCACTGATATAAAACAAGCTAGTTTTATTGGGCAAAGAGGTATGATCAAGATTTTCCATGCAGCTTCTTTGTATCTTGCTTGTGCAATTTGTTTGAATGATCACCGAGAAGGAAAAGTACACTTGTTTACTTGTCATTCTTTTCTGCTGGTTACTGTTTCGCTTTAAAATTTGAATGCTATGCAGATTTGTGTACGTGCATGCGCACGTGTGTCACGTTTCAGGTTCTCTGCATGAAAGATAACTTTAATTTCTGCACTTTACCTTTGTACACATGCCATAATATTTTGATTTCCGGATTCAATTGATTTCCTTTTGTGGGCCGATTATGCTTGCTAAGAGTGAAATGAGACACTATTGGTTTAAGTTATCAGTTTATCCTTTGTTGAGAAAAAATTAAGTGAATTCATTTCCTTATCACATTTTTTCAGTTATGACAAGCTATTATCAGTCTTTTTTTGTGGTTGGAAGGACCATGGATTTTGTTTTTTTGTGATTGTTGCTACTCGACATGCAAATGACGAAATATCTTCGTGGCCTGCAATATTAGGAGAATGTGTGAATTCTTAATTGGTGCGATGTGTTGAGAAGAAAAATTGAAGATCACAGGATTGTGTCATAAAATCCAGGAGTGCAGAAAAATTTCTTTAAGACATGCTATTGTATATTGTACTGCGGTCTCCTGGAGCAAGTCTGCTTGTTTGGAGTTTGGACGGGCCATGATCTGCTTGTGGGAAGATCCAAGCCACTGAAGACCGCCATTGCATCCTGCTGTGGCTTTACTGTCAAAGATTAGAAATGGTGACAATGCTGATGTGACAGTGGATTGTTTGCGTAAAAGAGAAGGAAAGAACAGTAAAGAAAATAGGAGGAGTGGGTTGGGGAAAAATATTGCAGAAGGGATAAGAGGAAGTGGAATATAGAACTCTTACATTGGTCAAATCATTTCTCATAGGTTGCCAATAGCAATTTTTATGTAGAGGATACAGTACAATCCATTAGTTCAAAGGATTAAAGGCTATGCATCCAAAAAAACTAAAACCATATTATAACACAAATTTTACATATGATGTTACAACTTTATAAGCTATCCTTTGATGAACTGTTTTTCCAATTTTTGCCGAAGTACCAATGAATCTTGTTACACCAACGTGCTTGTTCTGTACAATGGTGTTGTGCTCATGAAATTTTACCCGACGATTGCATATATCATGCTTATCAAATTGACTATTACAGATGTAGAATATATTGTCATCAGGTGTTCGCTTGTATCCAGGTGAATATATTGCCAGTGGAAGTGACGATGGTCGATGGTTTATCTGGGAAAAGAAAAGTGGCCGATTAATAACGATGCTACATGGAGATGATGCTGGTAATACCTTACTTCCCACCACTCTCACTAACATGCAGTAAAAATAACTTAGCACTTTCATTTGGCATATAATTAAAATGGAATATTGCTAATCGTCTTGTAGTGATTAACTTTTATGTGTTGCCCATACTCATACTATTACCTTCACAAAGCCTCCGGGCTGCAATGATGTGATACTCCCTCCATCGCAGAATAAGTTTATTTTATTTTTTGACACATGAATTAAGGGAAAGTCTAAAAAGACGATCTTTTTCTTTTTCGTAGATTTTTTTTTTTTTTCCTCTCTCTCTAATTCAACCCTCACTCATCTAGTTATGACAGCATGCATATTGCATTTGTTATTTCCTGTCATTCGGCATATTTTTGAAGAGTTGCATTTACAGAAGTGCCACCATTAAAATTTTTAAGGTAAACAAAATAAAATGCACTGCCTTTGGAAGCCTAATAAGCCTAAAATACATTTAGTTTGGGACCAAGGTAGTACTTAATAACACAATTGGCTGGCTGCTGTGTTTTGTAGTTTCTCTTTCGAATGGCTCTACAGATATCACTATTATAAAAGTTATGCTAGAAATTTTGGCTATTTGGGTAACCATTTTTACTCTTGAGATAAGATGTATTGAATCTAACCTAGAGGATTATGTATTGCTAGAATTGGACCTTCAGGACTCTTGTGAGATTCAGCACCAACCTGTGTACAATCTGACTCTTTTCTTTCTGGCTCTCATTATGTTTAATCCTATCTTCTGGTATCAGTTCATTGAGCTTAATTTGACATATGATATTCATCTTGTCCTTACTCTGCTGTGCTGCACAGTTGTCAATTGTATACAGAGCCATCCATATGATTCTGTCATAGCAACTAGTGGGATTGACAATACCGTAAAGGTTGGAAGGTTTATTTATGTTGAAAGTTGATTGATTACAAACATAAATGTTAACTTAATCATCCTCTGCAATGAATCCAGATATGGGCTCCAAATCCTGTACACCCCTCTTATGTATCAAGACACGGGCCTTCAAACCCAGTAGATGCTATGGAGAAAAATCAGCGCAGATTATGCCGCACTCGGGAGACGATTTTGTAATGCATATGTTTTGGATTTAACCTTTATATTTTCTGACCTGCTTCAATTATTTTTCATGTTCTGGGTTTATGATCGAATGACATTGTGGGTATTCGTGGGAGTGTGTTTGTTTTCTTATATGCGCGGCAAGCTAAGAATACCTATCCATGAATTTGTAATTAAGTTGCATCCTTTTTCTTGGAGTGTGATTTTCTATCACACATTTATTGCTATTTCAGGCCTTTTGAAATTCTGGAGCGTTTCAGGATGCATGAATTCGCTGAAGGAAGTTTCCATCCGTTTGAGTGCACTCAAAGTTGATCGTGTTCTACCTTCTGAATTTATATTTAGGTATTGTTCTGTTTGTGTTTTCTTTAGCATTTATGAATAAGTTGCACGTCTTGCATCTTGCAGAAAAATTTTGGATATTGTATGTTCTGTAGAATTTTTTAATACCATTCTGGAAATCCTGAACCCGACTGACCTCTGCTCCTAATTATTAATGATACTGAAATCTGTATTTCTTGTAATTGGATATTTAGTAGTGTGCAAGCATATGTATGCAATTAAAAGGGACTATTAACCCTGTGATTTGTTGTGCATGAAGTTGTATTAAAGTGGCATTTAGTTTGAACAAATTATATGATCGTTTTTTTTTTTTTTTTTTTTTTTTTTTTTTTTTGTAGAAATAACTTAGTTCAAATGATAAAAGGAAAAGTTAATGTTTGATACCCAGTTTTGAAGTTTTATGCAATGTGCCGTAAATCAACTCAATATGTGCAGTTGTGGAATGAGTAGCAATAAGATGATGGCACAAGCTTTACTGGATTTGCCTTGTATAATAGCTATATAATCCTATTAACTGTTCAATTCCCAGACCGTTCCTTAAACCATCGTGATATGGCTCCAAATAACTTCTGTTACATATCGTTGGATGATTAGTGTGTCCCAGGGAGTTTCATTTTGTGCATTTTTGTGTTGGTTTCTTGTTATTCACAATTGTTGCGGTCCTTTGGTTTTATACACGTAAATGCTTCTTGTTTACTAATTTCCTCACTGTATCCAGCAGGGGTTTAGTCAATAAATGCTGCTGCTGCTGCTTGAAGCTCGTCTGAACCAGCAGTAAAAACGACATGCAGATGCTTGTTGAGGGCATTTGCTTTCTACTTTCACTGTTGTGTATGTGTTCGTCTTACTGAGTGGTACTTATTTCACTACATTTTGAAATGAAATTCTCAACGATGGTCCAAGCCGAACAGGCTGACGGCAAAGTGATGATAACATGAAAGCCTGTAGATGGTGGTCTTGCTGCACATTATGGGTCAAAGTTTCTTTGATGCTTTGGGTGAGTGAATAGATGTGCCGAGTTGAAAGAGCTCAAACCTGCTGTAGATAATATTTTGGGCAGGCATCTTTTGCATTTCAATATATATATATGGTCTTTTTTTACACATTGTACCATTAAAAACATATTTCTCAATGAATTGCATATTTAACAATTATACGAGATATTGTTGCATATATATCAACAATTTATGCGAAACATTGTATGTATATTCAATGCATATTCAAATTGGACGGATGATTAAATATTATGTAAAATACTTTCGCATTAATTGCATATTCAAATTCACTGTATCATTTATGGGATGTGAAACTATTTTGCATATATAATTATTGAATATTCAAAATTGGTAGTTGTATATTTTTCGATTATGCAATATATTTTTCTTATAGTTTATGACTAGTATATTCAAATTTATCGCATGATTTACCATATGTGATAACGTTTAGCATATTTTGTTGAGTGTCCCATGTTTTATGATTATGCGATATATTTTCATATAGTTTACATCTTGTATAGTCAAGTCCAGCACATATTTCCATATGCAATAACATTTTGCATATTCTGTTCGCATATCCAAATCGAACGTTGCATATTTTATGTTAGGGGACATCTTCCTATAATTCATGACTTGCATATCAAAAATCTAGTGCATAATTTTCATATTTGATAATTTTTCGCATATTTTGTTAACGCATTTCAAATCGAATGCGCATATTTTATGTTATGCGAAATATTTCACATAGTTTATAACTCGCATATTCAAATCTACCGCCGTATGCAAAAACTTTTCGCGTTTATATTATCGCATATCCAAATCGAACGTTATAAATTCACCGCTTAATTTACCATATGTGATAATGTTTCACATTTATGATATCGCATATACAATTCGGACGTCGTATATTTTATGATTATGCGATAAATTTTCGCATAGTTTATGACTTGCATATTAATATTTACAACGTCGTATAATTAATGATTATGTGCAATATGTTCGCATATTCAAGAATTGTACATTCAAATCAAAAGCCTTGCAATTTAGGATTATCCACGATTTTTTCCTTGATCCATATCATGAATTGCATATCCGACAAAAATGTTACATACATTATTCGCACAATTTGTGTACTGCTTTGATTGTCTGGTTTTTGACGTAAAAAAAATTAACAAATGGCATGTTCCTCTTCATTAGAGTTAATTATATTGTGCTGAAAGAGGTTCACGAAGGGTGTTGTGGCGACTATGTAAAGGCTAGGGTGATGGTTGGAAATATTCTTTGAGTCGGTTACTTTTGGCCGAGGATGAGGGCGATGGCGCAATGCCTCATACGAAAATGCTTACGATGTCAGCAGTGTGGCCTGTGGAGAACATGATCCTGATGAGCTCACCATTTCCTTTTACACATTGGGCAATTGATATAGTAGGTCCTATATCCCAAACGATAGGTCACCGGAAGTTTCTGATAGTGGCGGTGGATTATTTCACTAAGTGGTTGAGGCTGGCAAAGATTACCGAGGAAAAGGTGATAAAATTTCTGTTTGCTAACATCTGCTGCCGATATGGCATTCCACGAGCACTTATATCTGATAATGGAGCCCAGTTTAGAGTTTGCCGCATAATGGCATGGTACGAGCATTTAAAACTTAAAAAGTAATTTGCTTCAGTAGCCCATCCGCAGGCGAATGGGGAGGCTGGGGTCGCTAATAGATCGATTCTTCAAGGACTGAAAGGAAGGCTGGAGAGGGCCCTGGAGCATGGGTAAACGAGCTCGACTCGATCCTCTAGTCGCACTGGACGACGCCAAGGGTTTCGACTGGGGAAACACCATTTAGTTTGGTGTATGGTATGGAAGCATTTATCCCAGTGGAGGTAGGCTTAAGCTCATAAAGGGTTAAAGCGCATATTCAGAGGAAGACAATGTTGGGCTACAGAAGGAAGGCCTCAACTTGGGGATAAGCTATGAGATTAGGCAGCAGTCAGAAAGTCCGCATATAAGCAAAGAATGAGAGTGGCTCATGATAAGATGATTCAAGCTCGACGGTTCCAAGTAAGAGACCTAGTTTGGCACCAGGCTGATGCCCTCAAGCACGTTGGGAAGAAGGATCCGAACTGGGAAGGGCCATACACGATCAAGAGGGTTTTTGTGGGGGGCGCATATGAGCTGCGAGAGGTCGATAGACGACTGCTACTCAGGCCATAGAATGTGATGCATCTGAAAACGTTTTATGCTTGACTTGATGGTTTTATTTATGACTGATGCTTGTTTATTTTCAGTATTTTCTGATGAAGACATTATTTGTGAATAAAGAACGTTATTCCTGAAATTTTGTATCAAGTAATACACTCCACTGGCTCATGTTGGAGGAGGTCAACAGAACATGTTGTGACTAGACTTCGAGGAGCTTGACAAAGAATCTTCATATTTGTAGCCAACTCTAAGGCGTAATCCGGTCGTGGCGATGCCGAGCTTAGAGAGTCCTAAGACTCGTAGCCAACTTTAGGGCGTAAGCCTATTGTGGCGGTTCCAAGCTCGTGGAACTCGACAACGATTTCTCAAACCGTAGCTAACTTTAGGGTGTAAGCCTGTCGTGGAAGTGCCAAGTTCGTGAAGATCGACAGCGAGTCCTCAGGCGTAGCCAACTTTAGGGAGTAATTCTGTCGTAGCCGAGTCCTCAGACTCGTAGCCAACTTTAGGGCGTAAGCCTGTCGTGGCGGTGCCAAGCTCGTGGAGCTCGGCAGTGATTCCTCTGACTTGTAGCTAACTTTAGGGCCTAATCCTATCGTGGCGGTGCCAAGCTCGCGAAGCTCAGTAGTGAGTCCTCAGACTCATAGACAACTTTAGGGAATAAGTCTATCGTGGCGGTTCCAAGCTCGTGGAGCTCGACAACGAGTCCTCATACTCATAGCCAATTTTAAAAAGTAAGTCTGTCGTTGCAGAGCTCAGCAGCGAGTCTTCAGACTTGTAACCAAACTTTAAGGTATAAGCCTTTCGTGGTGAGGTCAAGCTCCTTGAGCTCGGCTACTAGGTCCTGAGACCTATCAAGGGGTCATGCCCTAGGCTTATCGTGGCTTTAATTTATGAAGCTCAACAACAAGATTTAGTGTATGAGCATAAGATTGAGCAATCACACTAACCATGATATGATAACATGAATGAATCATAAGAGATAAACATAAAAACATGAGGGCGTCATTCAAAAACAATAAAATCTTAAGTACAAAGCAAGTTAATATGAGTTCAACAACTAGTAAGTACTAAATTGAAGACGCCTCGCCCTCCTCCTCCGCCGAGGCCTCTTCACCCTCTGTAGCTAGACCAGCCTTGGCCTTGGCGAACTCTAGAGGTAATTGGTAAGCTGCGATTGATTGCCATTACATCCCTTGGGGTCCGAAAGCCCTCTAGTTAGGGCGATCATCCCAGGTACTACTGAACCCCTGGGCCACGACTTGTGCTCGGGTCTGTTTAGTCCCTTCTTTAAAATATTACTGGTACGCCGGGAAGAACCATGAGAGGTAATGAGTGGAGTGCTAGAAGTACTTCAACAACTCGACCGTGTAGGGGTAAAAAAAGCTCGCGCCCGTGACAAAAAAATGAATGAGACATGACCGTCCTCACGGGCTTGAGGGACCCACTGGTCCATGGAGATGCAGGGTGAACCTCGGCCACCT